GCCAAAGCATGACTATCCCAACTGCATATCTGATCACTCAAACATTCTTAATGTTCTGGGACGCTGGACCCGATTTCCAGGAGGTGATGCTCCCCACCAATAGATGGAGCTTCCATGGCAGTGCTAGTGGTGTCTGCTCTTATCAGCGTCCCTAGCACTTACTCGGGTTGTTAAAAAAAAAAAAAAAAAAAAAAAAGGATGTTGGACCCGGTTTCCAGCAAGTGATGCTCCTCGCCATGAGATGGAGCCTTGTTACCGAACTCGAAAGCGCGATGAAAGTACTGTGCGCCGTGGTCCAGGCCGTCTGTCATAACTACAGGGGTCGGCCGTCTGTCATAACTACAGGGGTCGGTTGTGGTGTCAGACGGGATGGGAAAACAAATAGAAAAGGTCGAGCGATGGGGTGGGGTACTTTCGCCGCGCTTTCCAGTTCAGTGGCTGTTCTTTCGAGTTTTACCCTAAGCTTCCATGTTTTTTTTTGCCTTTAGGGTTTCGTTCCATACCACTTGAACTCAAGGGAGATGCGGAAACTCATCGTTCCACCCCTCCCTAATGACGATCGCTAATGTTTTCACACTTTCTGTTTCAAGGGCTGGCCTCCTCTCTCAATTCCACCCCTCTCTCTCTTTCTCCGTCCTCATGTTGCAGCTGTCTGTGCCGGACAGTTCTCCCTTCTCCCTTTCAAGGGCTGGCCCTTGAAGCTCAAGGATGGCTGGGGCAAAATCACACTTGAACTAAAGGCAGCTGTGGGAGGCACCTTGAGTTCAAGGGTGACACACACTGGCAAGGGCGTGAAAAGTGAGGCCTTTTTTTTGGTTTTTCATTCGTTCCAGCAGGCRATCCTGGTYCAGGYTTKGTCAAGTCGTGGGTATCAGTTTCAARWGCAGCCTGCTCAAGGGTTTTTTCAATTGTACGTGGAACCATAAATTGAAATGGTGTAAATTAATCAMAATTTCTCGTTTTTTCCAATGACCTGCAAATTYTGCCTCTCAGCGTTCCCCTCTARAAAAATCCCGGAGACRATCGAACATATTTTTCTACAATGTCCCGGGTCAGTATGAATGTGGAGATGGTGGRACAGGATATGGGGTCAATTAGGTACATCCCACTGTTGGATATCGGACTGGAGGGCATTGTTATGTGAATCTTGGAACCCAGACCAACTAGACGATTTMACTCAAAACTTATTTATTGTGGGGTCTCGCCGRCCTAGTTKCGAAGTCCTCTGGGAATCATTTACCTATTAAGGATATGAATTCCTCTTTTTGCGCTTTCATATGCAGACACAATATGAGGTGYARAATCTAACAATTCTTCTCTTGTAAAYCAGCGATCCTCACTAGGATCTTGGTATGCAAACCTCACCTTATAYTGWCGTTGTGGTCTGCCCCTACGTCAAGTGTGGTAAGTACTTTCTACAACAATTTGTTCTACGTCATACTTTCCTCCCATACTTGGAGGTATCGTTGATYGGCGACTTGGAAAGAGCTCACTTGTTACACAAGGTAGGAGCTTGGATGCATGRAACACTGGATAGGTACRCAGATGTAGAGGAATCTCAATGACATATGAAGGACCATCCACATCTCCAATTACATCTAAAACTTGCCAAGGTCCTCTGTAGGCGGGTAAAAGCTTTTGAGAGATGTTTTCTTCAGAAGCAAACTCTTTAGATTTCACCCAAACCAAATCTCCTACAGCAAACTGAGGCGGTCGTCTGTGTTTATTTGCTTGTTCAATCATTTGATACTGCGCTTTGAGTATGTTTTTTTTTACCTTCTCAATCTCGTTCTGATACTGGACCGCAAATTCACTAGTCTCTAAAGGAAGCTTATGTACTTGATCCGGGTTCAATTGATCAATGGGTCTTCGTGGACGCCATCCCAGATGTAACTCCATAGGAGTCTTACGTGTAGACAGATGCACAAAGTTGTTGTAGGCACTAGCAACTTTAGGCAAATGTTCATCCCAGTCAATTTGATCGGGACGGATGTACATGCGCAAAGTCTGCTGCAATATCTTGTTCATCTGCTCAGTTTGGCCATTAGTCTCAGGATGCCTGCCTGGCGACATAGTCAATTTAGAGCCATATACATTCATCAGTTGCTGCCATCGTTCACTTGTGAACCTGGTATCTCTGTCACTTACAATAGTCAAAGGATGCCCAAAGTCTTTTACCCAATGGTTAAAAAAATTTCCGAATTACCAAATCAGTCTTTGCTTCTGAAGGCAAAGCTACAAAAACAACATACTTAGTAAATCTATCCACTATGGTCATTACTTGCGTCTTCCCGTTTCTGCTTTTCACTTTAGTATCCATGAAATCTATAGAGACAAAGTCTCAAGRGCYGGTAGGGATAGGCAATGGCTTAAGCAGCCCAAGGGGCGATTGCGTGGTGCTCTTGTTTCGTTGGCACACTTGACAACCTTGCACATACGCGATACAGTCTGCCTTCATTCGAGGCTAGGTGTAGGAACGCAACAACGTTCCATAGGTTTTCTTCCATCCAAAATGACCTTCTGTATCATGGCATTCCCCCAAGAYCATACTCTTGATCTCTTCATTATTGGGTTCACATAGCCTATCATTCACATCAGTTCGTTTAAATAATARACCCTGAGTTACTTTATGATCGGRAAACTGYGCTGACTTTTSTTGCACTTGCTTAATCATGGTTCCATAAACAGGATCAGAGAGATACGCATTCCTAATCCTTTCTTGTAGGTCAGCACCCACATCTAARTAAGTCACAATMRCACCGAAAAAGTMTGATCTACGACTTASTGCATCAGCAACAACATTATATTTACCCTTTACTGGCTTCAGTTCAAAATCAAACATATCAATTTYCGCAGCCCACCTTGTTAACTTAGGTGTCATTCGAGCCTGCGTYTTGAGCCAGCGAAGYGYTTCATGGTCGGAGTATACCTTAAAAYKTCTTCYGAGAAGATAGTGTCGCCAATGATTGAGAGCCTCACGAAGAGCATACAATTMTCTCTCATACGTCGAGGCGRCCACTTTCTCATTAGGCAAYCGACAAGACATAAACTCYACAGGTCTGTATACATGTCCATCGTYTTRCTRGAGTACAACACCTATACCATATTGACTAGCGTCGGTTGTGACCACGAAAGGTAGTGAAGRGTCTGCCACTTTCAGAACCGGATAGTTAATCAAACACTTTTTCARAYGCTTGAAGGACATCGTGCAGTCTGAATCCCACTTCCAAATTACTTCTTTCTTAAGCAACCTGCGAAGGGGAGCAGYKATTATCGTAAAGTGTCTTACGAAYTTTCAATAGTAGTTGGCTAACTCAAGGAACGACTGCAACTCAGTCAAAGTGCGGGGGTTTGGCCAATCTTTGATTGCTGCTATCTTTGCATCTTCTGGTTTGATCCCATCTCCATCAATCAGATGTCCCAGGTATAGAACCTGACGCTTAGCCCATTCACACTTCTTTGGGTTTATCTTGAGTTTTGCTTCTCTTAGTTTATTTAGCACAAGTCGAAGGTGCTCAGCATGCTCCTTTTCATTTTTGCTAAAAATCATAATGTCATCTAGATAAATCACAACAAATTTGTCAAGCCATTCACGAAATAGTTCGTTCATCGTTCTTTGGAAAGTGGCAAGGGCATTCCTTAGACCAAAGGGCAAAACTATAAACTCATAGTGTCCATACCTCGTCCTGAAGGCAGTCTTATGTTGGTCTTCCGGCTGTGGTAATGGTTCGGCATTTTTCACTGTTATATCATTTAATCTCCTATAATCTATACACATTCGAACGCCGCCATCTTTCTTAGGTATAAAGAGCACAGGCGCACCATAGGGCGAGGAGCTAAGTCTTATCCAACCATTTTTTAGCAACTCATCGAGTTGGATACGCAGTTCATCCAATTCCTGGGGTGACATACGATAGATAGGCCCCTTCGGGGGCGCGCTCCCTGGAATGATATCAATGCGGTGTCGAACTGGTCTTTCGACCACACCGCTTGGGGCTTTAGCCACATCTGCGAATTCTTTCAGGATCCGCTCAATCTCCTGAGACCTGACTTCTTCTTTAGTTTCCCCTTCTTTTACTGGGCGCACATAGGCTACAAAGACTTGGTCATACAAGTTATATTTCTTAACATGGCGAGCGAACGCTGAGACACTTATGCAACAATGAGCTAGGCTGCTTTCTTTTCCAGATTCATGATAGAGGCGAATTTTTTTCTTACCTCCTTGCGGACTTGGAAGCCAACATTCATGTTCCCTCAATTTCAGATCCGCATGCGCAGCCTCACCCCAATCCATTCCTAGTAACACATCGAAGGGCAAGTTATCCTCCACCAAGAAGGTCAGAGAGTGGTTAACACGTTCCACCTTCCCCTCTGCCTCTAGCCGAAAGTATACTTGTACCCCCTCAACGTATCGGTCCATGACGGTTTCACTACTATTTGCTAACGTACTTACAATAGGCTCACTTAACCTCTTAACTTTAAGCCCAAGACGCAGTTTCTGCAAACCCTTCTCACTAATATAACTGCGTGTAGAACCACAGTCTATCATACCTCCTACTCTGACTCGATTTATTTCAAGATCTGCAATTATTAACTGTCCTTTCTTTTTCCACATTTCAGTCTTGGCTTGGCGACGAGGGGCCAACTCATCACCCATGCTAGCGAGGGATCCATCTAGAGAGATGCATACATTTGCCACCTCTGGACAGTGTACTAGATGGGGACTTCCTTCCTCTTCAGTTTCTGCCAGTGGAACCTTCAAATGGGAGGATTCTGGTTTTTCAATATTCGAAGCTCTGATAGACGTAACTGACACCTCTACTGGTTGTTCCTTTTTGCCTCCCTATAGTCAGGGCAATAGGGGACAATGTGGTCGGGGTCCCCACATTTGAGGCATTGGTCCGCCTTCTTCCTTTCGGCCCAGACTTTTTCTGTGATTCCCAATTCTTTCCAAGGCTCTCCTTCTGGTAGGCCTGGATGTGGTGGGTATGGTTTGTCCCACTTGTTGTGCCACGAGCCTCTTCCTCTACCCCAGGTGGAGTAAGAACCACGGCCACCGTATGAGGGACAATTTCCCCTTCCTCCCACGTAGCGGCTTCCTTCACCACCACCCCTTTGGGTGCCGATTCCTCGTCCACCACGGCCACGACCTCTTCCTCGGCCACGCCCTCTTCCTTAACGCCCTCCCCCGCGGGCTGCAACAGCCGCGTAACTCCCCTCCTGAGCTACCAGTCTGCTGGGTTCATCGAGACCATAGTCTACCTGATCCCAGAAGATGGTCTCGGCGCCTCCTTCTTCAAAAGTTAGAAGGAGACTGTCTTTCCCAGGTATAGACCTTGAGATAGTGCGGTTTTGCCATCTCTTACCCGCTTGCAGATCCTTCCAATAATGACAATAGTTTGCCTCGGCAAGGAAGCCGGCGTGATCTATTGCGATCTTGCCGAACTTCTYATACGTCATCCCCTCTTCTTTGGTGCGGGGATAGGGTTGTATTCTCAGGGGATCMGGGAGTGCTCGTGRAAAACTGTTTAAGATTTGGGCCGGYRTCAATCCGTGATCAGGGCATTGCAACAGTTCATCCATAGTTGCCTTTAACGCAAAAGTACTTTTCCATTTCCTATCGGGGAGGTTGAGGATCAACATTTCTGTGCGCTTTGCCAGTTTCTTGTCCTCTAATCTTTCCCTAATCAACATAAGAAAATCTTCAATGCGCGTTTGCTGCGAATACTCTACCATAGAGTTGCATCCCGCCTCTTTTTGCAGCGAGATGGCGAAGCTCATGGCGTCATCTCCCATGCATGAAGTTGCCATTAATACCTTGTCCCAATATGGAATGCGCTGTCCATATACGTAAGTTTCAATTACCGCCGCCCAGTGCAACACACTTTCCTCTTTCTTTCCGTTATAGGTCCACAACAGTTTAAGTTTTATCTTGTTAACCTGCCCGGGTTCCTGAGAAGGTTGGTCTTTTGGATCCCCAATCTTCTTTTTCCCWTTCCTTTCACCATCGTCGTCGTCATCACCATCTCCTCCTCCGCCTCCAGCGCCTTTCACAATCTTGTCTATGACTTCCGGGGTGAATGTCTTAGTAACATGATCATCCARGACTTTAATATACGTCTGTAYGTGTTGGTCCRCGTCGTTAGCTSATTTTTCCAAGAAGCTATTCCAAACATTCTCGAAGTCTATACGATGCGTTTCAACTCTTTGTAGGGTCTCACGMATTAAGTTCATATCTTRTYTGGTGTTGAGGACTGTCTGTCTRAGGAGAGCAAGTTGTGCTTCTGTTTCAGAGGGGTTTTCTTTTTGCCCTTCTAGAGCTTTCTGCAATTTCTCCCCTTCTGCTTGCACTCTTTTCTTTTCATCTATCTCTTGTCGTCTGGAAGCTAACAACCTGGCATTCAGTTCAGCCCTCCTTTCTGCCATCAGCAGGTTGCGTCCAACARCGTCTGTTACCGTGACCAACTTTGCAATGAATGTATTCCTTTCTTCTTCARATTCCTTCAATGGTTCGCTGGAGTAGTAGTACTTATCGGCCCAATCCAGCGGTTCCACCGGGAGCCGGTCTGCTGAGGTACTCTCAGGTATGTCTTGAAGGCGACGTCTTCCCAAAACTTCTCCTTCTTCTTGTTCTTCTTCTTCTTCTTCTATACTCTTTAACTCTTCTTCCAACTCTTTCTCCATCTTCTCTTTCATTTTCTTTCTGGCCTCTTTTTCCTTCAATTTTTTCTTGGCTTCTCTCTCTTTTTGCTTCTCTGCCAACTTGCAATCTGTCTCTGCCTGCTCCGCAGGTGTAGGGCCAGGCTTCACTTTTCCAGACCGCATCAGCATGCGGGACGTGCACACACGTCCGAACCCCAGTGGGAACATGAGCCGGAACAGCGGCCCTAACAAGACAGAAAGGGTCAACAGACCCTAGATCGGGTAGTCATCCATGATGAGTCCTGGCACAGGAGGTCCTCCACCAGCTCACCACGGCACTGTCCTAATCAAGCTTAGTTTCCTCACTCCCAATCTGTGGCGACTGAAGTCTGAACTTTCGTTTTTTTTTTTTTTTTTTGACTGTAGAAGGTGCTGCGTAGTACTATTTGGATATGTATACTCCCCTTTTTTTTTTTTTTTGATATGTTGTCTGACTTCCTGGATCAAACTTTTGGCAATGTGTTTCTGCTGTCTTTCTCCCTTGGTATATTATTATTTTTGATACTACTTTGGCTGGTTGTCTGATGCAGGTATGGAGTACAACGCAGAAGATCAGATTCAAAAGGTTCAATTATCCAACCAGACAGAAATAGTTCGTTTTGTTTCCTTTCTTTCGGGCTCAACAGACCCTGTAGATGCTCAATATCAATCTTACGCTGCCTGGTACTTGCAATCTGATATGGCAGATGGCCACTTCCACATCGATTCCTAGTCCCTGATGACAATACCCAGCCTGCTTATCGAGAGGGGTAGGAGAGAAGTCTACTCCTACTCGCAGAACACTGGACCACCTATTCTAGTGTGACCATGCCCTGACACATCGCACTTGGACCATCCAAAATCTAGGACGATCCAGATCCAGACTCCGACTTCAGACCACACCAGCAGCAGTCACCTTCAGAGGGTTAGAGAGAGAGAAGGTAGGGGACACACGCATGCATGCAGGTTCAAGGAAAGGAGGTGCTTCTCCCTTCTTGAAGATACCGCCGATGATGCTCCACGACGCTCCACACGCTCCAGGAAAGTAACTCTTCGTCACTTCTTCTTCGACCTGCTTCCCCCCACAATACTTTTCCTCTTCCTCCCTCCTTCACTTATCCTCCATCACCACATCTTCTCGCCGGCCTTGATCAAGCCAGCGCTATGAGTGCAGCGAGCATCTGCTCCGATACCAAATTTTGCATGGGTCCGGGGGACCATCTCACGTAAGTGTGTACATGTCATGCATCATACTCGCTCACATTGATCAGTAGTCTCACATAATAGGCAAGGGTAGATGAGAAGAGAACCGAGTTTCACCACTTATATTATCAAAAATATGATTACAAAGTGTTTCATAGTTCCCTGACTCTACCGCTCGTCTGCGCAGTGTCAATCCAGCATCAACTCATCAACTTGACTTCCAATACATCAGCACTACTCCTGCAGATTGTCTCCAAGTCATCAATGAGGTCACCACTCATCAGCGCCACCTCTGCAGTTCAAATCCAACTCAGGTAAGTATCTTYCATAGCCAAACCTTGAATGAACACTCTCTGCCTCGGTCCCTTCCTCCTACGATGCATACACATTCTTCTCTCGCAAGGATCTACTMTGAATGCTACTCATAGCTATCTACTACTAACCCTCTAATACTAATGCTAACTGCTGGGCAGCTATGGCTGCGTTACTTCCAGCACACAGGCTTCTTCCTTCACTCAKCGCATCTYCATCCTCCAGCGCTGCTCCTCCTGACTTAACGCACAAGTGCACCAGCACTTCCACGCCGAAACAGCCAGTGGAGATCTGGCGAGGAATGAGGCTGGCAGCTTCCTTTATAGTGCTGCCCACTCCTCGCTGGGTCTACATTGGCTCAATTCAGCCTTTCCTTTGTCCCAGACCCTGCATTGCATGTGTCCCAGTATAGTCCCAATGAGGTTCAACTGCTGCTGAGGCTTCCCGGCCTAGATTTGGACTTGAAAGTCTGGATCTGGACTGTCCCCTTGACTCAGACCAGAACTGGGACCTTTCCTATTGACTTTAGCTTCGGACAGGCACAACTCTAGACAAACAGACACATGTACTGCCTGAACAGACACTTTCCTTTGCACGAACAGGTACACTGTCTGCACGTACAGACACACCCTTACCCGAACAGACATGACATACACATCTTCTGATGAACAGGTAGGTCCTTTGACAATGCCTTTTGCTTTAGATTTAGATGTGCCTGTTGATAGAGAACTTGACCTTTGCTCTGCTTTCACGTTTTTGAGCCCTGGCGAGATACCCTTTCAAACTGCTTTACCTTTACAAGCCCCTGTTGCTTACTTTTACAAGGCCTGAGGCCTACATCAGGAAAAGGCCCTTTTAGTATGTGGGCACCATACAACCAGAAACAGAGATCTGATAGTGCAGTCCAGTTAGTTCACAGCCCACGGGGGACCGTGCAGACCAGTGCAGTCTAGTGGAGTCCAGTCCAGTGCAGTCCAGTCCAGTGCAGTCCAGTCCAGTCCAGAGTAGTCCTGTCCAGTGCAGTCCAGCCCAGTGCAGTCCAGTGAAGTGCAGTCAAGTGCAGTCCAGTGCAGTGCAGTTAGTTCACAACCCAATGGGGACAGTGCAGTCTAGTTAGTTCACAGCCCACAAGGGACAGTGCAGTCCAGTGCAGTCGAGTCCAGTCCAATTTTCTTTTTTTTTTTCATTTTTAAAGGTGCACAGGCGCGGGGGCCGACCTCCGCAACCCGTTAGTAAAA